CTGCCCCAAGCAGACCACTTGCCCCCCACCTCTCTGTGAGCCAGGGGCAGGCAGCTAAGCCTTCTAGGGGACTTCCTGACACTCAGGGGCCTGGCCACAAGGTTCTGTCGACACACGCTTGTGCTCCACAGTGGGTGGAGGCCCAGGGGACACAGGGCACTGGGAGGCAGGACTGTGTGTTGCCCGGAAGGCAAACTGTCCCACCTGGCCTTCCTGGGATGGAAGACGCCCCTGAGGGTGTCGTGGCCCCAGGACCATATGGGGAGCAGCTGATGTTGGGGCTGACCTCTCCGGGCCACACCCAGCCTGGGATCCCTGCGTGAGGCAGCGTGGAGCCTGCTCTGCTCTGCTCCTGCCCCTTCCACAGGTTCTCGGGCTGCTATCTGGGGAGGGATGCCACCAAGCAGATGTCAGAATGGGGTGGAGGAGGCCCCGCCTGGCCTGGGAGGGTGGAAACTGGTTGGAGAAGGAGGTGGACTAGCAGCACCTGGTGACTAATCCTGGTCTGGCCTCTCCTTGCCAGTCACCACCCCTGGTGGCTGGTGAGGGACTTGAGAGTGGGGCTGCTTTGGGAAGTGGAGGCCAAGGGGAACCCATGCCCCAGGAGTGCCCGAGCTTTGACGCACATGGTATGGCCAGGGAACCCTCTCTGAGACAGACCAAGTTGGGACCTGAAGGATGAGTTGGGAAAGGGATGTGGGAGCCTGAGCATGAGAAGAGCCTTCTAGCCGGAACATCCTCATGGGCAAAGACTGCCAGGCAGGAGGGCCTGAGCATTCTGGGAGTCCAGAGGGCCCAGGGTGGTTCTTTCCTACCCTGGAGCTGCCCTCTGTACCTCAGCACCCCCGCACACAAATGCACAGGTGCACACAAAAGCATACATACATTCATGAGCATCTGAGTGCACACAGGCACATACATGCATGCATGTACAAAGCATACAACATATAAACGTGCACACAACACATGTGCCTACCATGGGCATGCAGACATGCGTGATCATATGCCCTAACATGGGCATGTACAGATGTGTGATCATATGCCCTACTATGGGCATGGGCACACACCAACACGTGTGGTCATGTGCCCTACCCTGGGCATGGGCATGCACCAACACGTGTGATCATATGTCCTACCATGGACACATTGACATGCGTGATCAGGTGCTCTAACAAGGGCAGACACTGACACGTGTGATCATATGCCCTACCATGGACACGCACCAACACACGTGATCATGTGCCCTAACATGGGGATGCACCGATGCGCGATCATGTGTCCTTCCATGGAGACGCACAGACACGTGTGATCATATGCCCTACCATGGGGATGTACAGACATGCGTGATCATATGTCCTAACATGGGCATGCACCGACACACGTGGTCATATGCCCTAACATGGGCACGCACCGACACACGTGGTCATATGCCCTAACATGGGCATGCACTGACACACGTGATCATGTGCCTTACCATGGGAATGCACAGACACACGTGATCATGTGCCCTACCATAGGCACACACTGACATGCGTGATCATATGCCCACAGGCATCCCCAGGCATGCACACACACACGCACACAAATGTATACACACATGCACATACGCATACAGGCACACGAGGCGCACACACATGGGCCTTGTAAAACTAATGTAAAGATGATAATGGTCCCAGATAAACGAGCCCCTTGGGAAGGATCCACCTTCTGCTCTGTCTGGGTGCAAGCCACAGCACCTCCTCAGGTCTGTAATTCTTGGGGGTCTGCACATGAGGAAAGGTGGGGTTTGCCTGGAAATGGGCCTTTCTGTGGGCTGTTTGGTCTTCAGGCTCTTGGGACATCTCCAGTCTTTTGGCAGGTGGGCTCTGAAAGGGGGTGCCACCCTGCCCAGGGTAGCCACCATGTCTTCTAAGCAAGACTGCCTGCCCCAGCAGATTCTGCACTTCTGTGGGTGTGAAGTCACTGGGAAATACCTTTTGGGGACCAAGACAGGGGTCTTCATGGACATTTGGGAAGACTTATGGGGAAGGGACATTGGAGACTGTCCAAGGTTAGCTGGGTCAGGGACTGCTTGGGCAGTGATGGCCAGGGCCTCCGTGGCAGGAGGAGAGCTGTCCTTATGTGGAGTCGGGGACCTGAGCATCACCAGGCTGATCTGGCACTGAGGCCCTGTGGCTTCCCCTCCTGTGTCCTCAGCATGCAGTCACCCTCTTAGAAGTATACGGGTCTGTGGAGTGACCTTTGGGTGGCCAGAGTTCAGTGGATCTGCATCTCTCCCTCGTCACCACTGCTTCAAAGAACTGAAAACAGGACCAGCCAGAGGGAGTTTAAATGGCCCCACTCTGCAGGGTCCATGGTGATGGTGCTCCTGCCGCTGCTGCTGCTGGTGATGACGATGATGGTGGTGATGGTGAAGATGGTGGTGATGGTGGCAATGGTTATGTTGATGGTGGTGATGGTACTGATGGTGGCAGTGATTATAGTGATGATGACTGCTCACATTTACTGACTCCAGGAGTCTGAGACATGCCCTTGTGTTCTTGTACCAATGGCTGAGTGGGCCCTGCCTTCCTGCCCACTGTGACCAGGATGCTCCTGCTCGGTTCCAAACTCTGTTCCAGGCAGAGCCCGGATTATCCTCTCTACCCATGGAGGTCCCATCCCTGCAGGCTCACCTAGACCTTGGTGGCACTTGTGGCTTCGTTCCTAGGAGGGGTTCAGACGTATCTGTTGAATGAACGAATGAATGAACAAAGAGCATCCTGGTGTGCAAGGGCCCCTGTGCGTCCCTCCTCCCCTGGTTTGAGGTGTGTGGGGCAAAGGGCAGTCTCCCCGTGGGGAGGGGCCTGCCTCCACCCATTGCTCATGGCCTTCAAGGCTGGAAGTCCCTCTGGGGCCTGATTCTGCCAGGGTTCTCTCCCCATCCCTGTCCAGGTGCAGGATCCTGTGGCAGCTCCAGGGCGCCCTCACGTGGTAAGCACAGGCACCTGCAGGAGGGCCTGACCACACATGCCCAGGCAGCCGCGTGGTGTGCTGGGGAGTGCTGCCTGGGCCCCAGGTGGATGGTTGTGTGCCACATGGTTGTACGTTGAGACCTCACCTCCGCCTGGTCTGTGTGCTGCGTGGACATCTCCATCCTGTCCCTGCAGAGACGTGCCCAGTATAGAGCACGGACCCTACGTGCCGTGTGGACTGGGTGCAGCCTGGGGCTGGGAGCCTGGTCCCAAGCCTGGTCTTGGTCGTTGGTTCATGTGGGGCTCAGATCCTGCTCACAGGGCTGGACTTTCCTGGGGTTGGCCAAGGGTTTGTGTCTCAGGCTCTCAGCAAGAGGGTCCAGAGTGGCCGTGCCCCAGCCCAGCCCACGTGCCTCCCAAGTGTTCAGAGGTGGTGGCATCAACTCGTGTGGCAGAGCAGCCCCCGGACCAGGCTGGAATGCCCAGCCCACTGGATTCTGGGGCTGTCTCTGGCCCATGTTCCCAGCTGGTGGTGACTCGGGGCTGGGGAGTCAGGGAACGAAGGAGCTTCAGGGGCCACAGCACCTTAGGAGCAACCCGACCGGGTCTGCTGAGATCTGCCGAGGACTCAAGGTGGGGCCCTGCCCCACCCTCTGTCAGAGGGGCTGTGTGTTTCCATCTTGCTCGGTTTTACCACTCATGGCCCCGAGGAGGGGGCTCAGCCGCCCTCGGCTTTGAGCTGGCCCCCAACCCCATGGCCCCATCAGAGCATCTGTGGAAATGGCTTGTGGTGGGGGAGTCTCCCCTGAAACACCCCTGTTCCCCAGCACCAGGGCCTATTTCCGCCCCTGTATCCCTGTATTCCTGCTGTGAGCCTTCTGGGTGGTGAGGGCTGCCGTCTGGGATCTGGCCTGGCCAGCTGGGGTGGGGGTTGCAGAGCTGAGAAGAGGAGGGGTGTGGCCATCTCTGTGGCGATGATCATGGCTTGGCTGATGCGAGTTCCAGAGAAGGAGCCGGAATGACCTGCGTGTCTCAGCCCTGCAGGGATGAAGATGGCAAGTGGGGGGCGTGCCTGGCTGTGCTCCCCCTGAAACACATCCCCGGTCCTGGGCTGGGCCCCACCCTGGCCTCAGCTTCCCCTGGAGCCGCCTCTTTATCTCATTCACGGTGTTACCACCGGTTACCCCCAGGCAGCCCTGGGAGACACTGACTGGCTTTACTCTTCCCCTCCACTGAGGAGGAAATACAGTGCGGAGGGAATTTGATGCTGGGGCGGGGCAGGGTGGCTGAAGACACAGAGCCTGGGCGTCCATCTGGTGAGTAACCAGCAGCCTCCATCAGGCCAGGCCAGAGTTCAGGGTGGAGGAGTGTGGCTATGGCGGTGCATGTGAGGGACGGTTCCGCTTCCCGGCGGCACATGTGAGGGAGGGTCCTGCTTTCTGGCTGTGGCAGCCCTGGGGCCCTCAGGACATAAGGCTCCAGGGTGTCTGTGTGAGCACGTGCATGTCATGAGTGGTCCGGGACCAATGCAAAGCCTGCTGGACTCTGGGGCTGCCTCTGGCCCATGTCCCTGGCTAGAGGTGACGAGAAGACACTGCCACCCTCTGGCACCTCTGGGACAGGGTCACCGAGCAGAGGCAAACTTCTCCTGGGCTCTGGGCCCTCCCCGTCGGGCAAGGCCTCTCCATCCCTCTAATAAGTTGGAGGGAGTCACCCTGTATCATTTTATTTTTTAGTTTTTTTTTTTTTTTTTTTTTTTTTTTGAGGCGGAGTCTCGCTCTGTCGCCCAGGCTGGAGGGCAGTGGCGCGATCTCAGCTCACTGCAAGCTCCGCCTCCCGGGTTCACGCCATTCTCCTGCCTCAGCCTCCCGAGTAGCTGGGACTACAGGCGCCTGCCACCTCGCCCGGCTAGATTTTTGTATTTTTTAGTAGAGATGGGGTTTCACCGTGTTGGCCAGGATGGTCTCGATCTCTGACCTTGTGATCCGCCCGTCTCAGCCTCCCAAAGTGCTGGGATTACAAGCGTGAGCCACCGCACCCCGGCCATTATTTTTTAGTTTTTAATTCATTCCCAAACATTGTCCCCTGTGCCCCACCCCACCCAGCTGCCAACTGTTCCTGGCACCCACAGCCCCGAAACGGCAGCTGGTCTGGGCAACAGGGGTGAAGTCTGGGCTGTGAGGGTCTGAGCTCTGGGATCATCACTGCCAGGAGCCCGGCTTATGGGCACGGCCAGGAGGCAGCCGGGGCAGAGAGGCTGGGAGCCAGCTCCTAATCTCTGCCCTGACCAGAGACCTGCCAGGGGGCTTGGACTTGAGGGGAAGGAGGGTAGGGGCTCCTGGCCAAAGGCCACACAGGGAGCCCTGCCTGGAGGTGAGATCAGGGTGGAGCCCAGGGTCTGCAGAATGGAGGGACTGGCTGCCCTGGCCCTGCTGATTGTGACCTGGCCCCTGTAGCTCCTCCCACCTCTGCTGCCCATAGACAGAAGGGATTCGGAGGAATTTCAGAGGGGAGTGTGGGGCCTGTGGCTTCAGCTTTAGCAGCTTTATTAGGTTTTATTCAGAATAAAAATCTTCGGGCCAGGGAAGGAGTATCTTCTTCTGGCCCCACACTGGGGAGGGCCGTGCTGCACAGCCCTGAGCTGGCCTTGCTGGGTGCCATGGTCTGGCCAGGGGGTGTCCCAAACCCTTGACTCAAGTTTGCTGTCCACCAGGCCCACTGCCTGACAGCCGACCCAATGCAGGCTGGGTGCTGAATGTCAGCTGGGTGCTTAGGATTCAGTCGGGGGTATGTGCCCAGCTCTTCCTGAGTGGAGGCGGGCAGTGTCTGTGTGCGTGGGAGGTGAGACTGTGTGAGCATGTCTGTGACTGTGGCTGCGGGTGTGAGCAGGAGGAGGAGAGGCTGAGCTGGACACGCAGGGCCGTCCCTGTTGGCTGCAGAGCATGGTGATGGTGGCCCCTGCCCCAAGGGCCTCTCACTGAGAGTCCGAGTGGACCCTGTGGCACTTGGGGCCCTCCCCGCACTGCGGCAGACGTGCCACAGCCACGGTAAGGCCTGGCCCAAGGAGGTGCGCACTCAGCTCTGCAGGTCCTGCGTAGTGAGCTTCCCACTGTGGGCCCCGTACCTACTGGGCTGCCCACCTTCCCGTGTCCCCCCTGAGCTGCAGCCCAGAAACCACAAGTCTGCCCTGGGGGCTGGGGCCCACGTGCACCGCTGGGGGCAGGCGTCGGACCGTGGCAGTCCAGGAAGCTCTTCCTAGGAGACCCCACAGAGACTGACTGCCTAGGGACAGTGCCAAGGGCAGTTTATCCCTGTGCTCCCACCAGCTCTTAAGTGTCCCCTTCCCCAGGCTGCTGACATGGAAGGTGCTCCTTGGCCAGGAGCCAAGTCCCCGGGAAGGAAAGTGGTACAAGAACAAAGCCCCAGCCCCCATCCCTGGCCTCAGAGGAGGGAGCAGCCAGGGGCCACCTTCCCTCTAAGGGAGGGGTCAGGCTGGAGGTCAGAGCTCCAAGACGAAGCTCCAGCTAGGCTAGGGCCACATCTTGTACCCCGAAGGAACACCCCACTCCCACCAGTCCCTTTGGTATTGTCCTGGAATGACCCTGGGGCCCCTACTCCTTCTCTAGGACCAGAAGTGCCCCGGGGGGTGCTGCCTGTCCCCTCAGCCGGAGGAAGGACGAAGGGGACGCCAAGCCCCCGGGTCGGTGCTGTGGTCAGGCCAGGGCTTGCTGGGGCTGCCTATGCCACTTCTGCACCCTCCAAGGGGAACCTGCCCCTGAGGAGACTGGTGGACCCTGCCTTGACTCTGCCTGGCTGATTGGGGTGGGGGTGGGAAGATGGAGGCACCAGTGGCTCCCGCTTGTGTCTGCAGCGAGCAACTTGGGTGGAGGGGCTGGAGGTCTGTGCTCAGGAGAGCCACAGGGGCAGGTTCCCTTTGTGGCCCTGCAGCAGCGGTGGTGGGGGTGGAGACGCCAACTGCCTGAAACTCAAATGGTTCCTTTTATCCTGATTTCTGCTCCCTGCCTTGGGCCTGGGGCTGGGAGAACTTCAGGCGACTCAAGACTCCTGCCTCGGATTGAAGCCGGGGAGGAGAGGCTAAGCCTCTACCTGGTTAAGAGAAAAGAGGCAAAGCTGCAGAGCCAGGTCTGGCACTCGCCCCAGGGGAAGGGGGCGCTTGGGGAGGGGGTCGTCCTCTGACCGTCCCCGGGGCATCGCAGCCGGGGCCTGGGATGCGCGCGGGGGAGGCGGCGCAGAGGCGGTGCCGGGCGTCAGCAGGTGGCGCTGGCTTCCGGGGACAGAAAAAAAAACCCTGCAGCAAACCCGAGTGGGTGTCACTGCGGCTGCAGATGGCGGCGGGGGAGGGATTTGTCATTTTCTCCCTGGGCTGCGGAGTCTCACGTGCCTGGTCCTGCACAACCCAGAGCGGGCTTTGGGGGCGGGATGCGGTCCGGCGTGTCCACCGCCCTCGTTCGGACCCTGGACGCGGACGCAGACCGCCGCCCCCATGCGAGCCTGGTCCTGGGCTGCGGGGGCTGCTCCCGCGGCTGCTCCGGGGCCACAGCGAGCGCCGCCCCCGCCCCGCCCCGCCCCGCCCCGCGGCGCAGCGGCCTGAGGAAGGGCAGACTGAGCGGTGACCTCAGACCCTGCCCCACCTCCTCCCACGTTGCCGTGGCAACTGTCCAGGGCGCCCGCGGTGGGGGCCAGGGCCGCACTTGGCCGCGCTCCCGTCCCGCGGGGGCCGCCCGGCCGCCAGCACCGCGGACAGCGCCGCACCCCAGCCCGCCGCCCCGCGCACCCGCCCGCCGCTCCCCGCGGACCCTCCCTTTGTCTCCCGGCCCCCGCCGCCCTCTGCGGGCGCCTGGGCCCTCCGCGCTGCGGACACACGTGGCCGGGGGCCGGCTGGCCGCAGCCTGGCCCGGGCCACAGGCTCCCCCCTCGGCCGCCCTCGGCCGCCCCCACCCGCCCCGCGACGCCGGAGGCGTGCGGGCCCCTTTGTGTCCCGCGGCCAGATCCCTGGCCCGGCAGCTGGGCCGCCCTCTGGGCGGGCGCATTGTTCGCCGGATTTGTCCGCGGCGCGAATGGCCGCCGGGGGCCGGGCTCGCCTTCCTCCCGCGGGAGGGGCGCTGGGCCGGACGGGCTCGCGGGCCATTTCCATGAGAAAGGAGCGGCGGAGGCGCCTCTCTTGGCATTCACCGCGTGCCTTAATTGTATAGACATTAAATCAAGGTCCGCTGTGAACACGCAGAGGGGCCCTCAGGGCTGTGGCGGGCGGCGAGCGTCGGGGCCGGGGCCGGGACCGGCTCAGGCTTGCGTGGGGTCCTCGCCCGAGGGGCGCGAACGCTCAGGCGTCTTCGCCGCGTGGCGGGCAGGGCGGGGGCGCTGCGCTCAGCGGACTGTGCGGTCCCGGTCCGCCCCCGACTCGGAGGAGCCCACACTTCTCCCCTTTCCGCGGCGCAGAGTGGGCCCCCAAGTGCGTCCCTCCGGGCGTTCCTGGAGCTGGGGTGCCCGGGAATCGCGGAGACCGATTCCGGGGGTGGGGGTGGTGAGCGCGTGCGCACCCGGCCGCCTCCCGCGGGGCTCCGAGGGGCGCAGAACCGCTCCGACTGGGCGGCGCGAGCTCCTCCGCAGCTGCCTTCCCTGCCGTGCCCCCTGCCCGTGCCGACCCAGGAGCGCGCACCGAATGCGGTTAAAAGAACGAATCTTGATGCTCAAAGATGAAAACTCGTCTCTTTTTACAACCCAGCGAGCTCGTCCTCTCCGCGCGCAGCGGGCCCGCGAGAAGGCGCTCGAGCTGTTCGTGGAGAGAAAGACTGGGAGACCCAGAGAGGCCGCTTGCCCGGTTCGCCCCGGCCCGGCCCCGAGCGTAATTACCAGTCCCGGCGGGAGCCGCCGCTGCCGCCTCCGCTCCCTGCGCCTCCCGCGCCGCCGCCAGTTCCCGCCTGCTCTTCGGCTCCCGGGGGCCCCGCGCGCTGCTGCCCTGGGCGGAGAAGGGCGCGGGAACCCCGAGAAGGGAGCCAGGCAAGTCCCCGAGCGCCGCGGGCCGGCTGCGAGCCGAGTGTCCACGGGGTCCACGCTGCGGGCGCCCAGCTCCTGCTCGCCCGGCCCGGCCCCGATGCGACTGTCCCCGCGCCCGCCGCTGCCGCCGCTGCCTCCGCGCGTATCCGCGCTCCGCTCCAGCACCGGGCGATTATCACTGGGGCGCGCGGTGACGTCACCCGGACACCGGCCCCGCCGCCGCCTCCCCGAGGTGTCCTTGAGAACTGCGGGGCACGCGCGCCGCGCACACGCGCACACACGCACTGCGCGCCTCGTGCCTCCCGCGCATTCGCGCCGCGTACCGCCCCGCGCGCTCCTCGGCTCACGCGGACGCAGCCTTCGAGCGCCCTCGACCGTGCCCTGCGCCCCGCGGCCACAGGAAGGCCCAAGGAAACGCCTGTCCCACACACTCCAGCCCCTCATATGGCCCTCCTGCACCCACGCGCGCAGCCCCTCCAGCTGCACATTGACACCCCAGCCACACCCCGCCACGCGCACGCCTCGCCACGCGCACGCCTCGCCGGCACGCAGCCCAGCGGCACCCGCAGACACGCACCCGCACTCGGGCCCTGACCGCGGGTTCGCGTCTCCTGCCTCGCCCCCGCAGAACTCACTCTGCCGCGCAGCTCACACCGCAGCCCTCCAAGCCTCTCAGTCCTGAGAAAGGCAAGGGTCCCGCCGGCCTCCTGCAGATGGCTCTGCTGGGCTCCGTACGGGGGGAGGGAATTAGAGGTCGTCCTTCCCCGCCCCCATCGGAGCCTGCGGTTCTCACTGTTTCTGACCAGGATGGGAGCTCTTGCCCCTAAGGACCACGGAAGCACAGGCGACACTCCACGACCCGACTGCAGTCACTGCCAGCTCGATAGGGTCCTTGGGGCGCCCCCGATCTGGCCCTCTAGGGCCAGGGATCAGCGGCTTCCCCAAGCCTCACCGTCTGGAGCCTCCCCCGCGGGCCTTTGTTTAGACTGCAAGGAGCGCAGGCCCGGCGCGGCCGGCCGGCCTCTGTCCCCTTCTCCTTCCTCCTAGGGCCAACCCAGCCCCTGCGCCATCTGCCCTCGGAGCAGAGCCTGGGCCTCCCTGGGCGCAGGTCCTGCTTCCTTCCTTTTCTACCCTCTCCAGCACTGCTCAGCCCATGGACAGCCGGTTAGGAAGTGGGGCAGGAACTCGGGTTGGTTCTGCCCCCACCGCCTCCGCCGGTCCTCAACCATCAGGACGCCCCTCCCCCTTTGGTGCGGCTTCAACCTGACCCTTCCCAGCCGCAATTCCTCGCCCTTCGCAGGTGTCCGGGACAGCCTTTCTCTCTCACAGGTCACGCACAAGCCCTCTACTCCTCCACAGCCCAAAGGGAACCTTCTGTTCCAAGCGCAAAGCTCTGGAAGCTGCCCCAAGCCTGCGGGTGCCGGCAGCCCCAGCAGGTGCAAGCCGGACGCTGGAGGGGCTGGAGGGCTGGGGAGGCCAGGCTGCGGCAGCCCCGCTTCATTGGAGACCGTTGCCCTTGGCCTCCAGTGGTCGGGATCGGACCCTCACCCTAATGAAACGGGGGCAGTCCCCAGGGCGGTCCTAGGCTCCCAGGCGGAGGCATCCGCTGTCCATGGTGTTGAAACGGAACCCTGAAACCTCCGCCTCGCCTTCGGACTTTACCCCCAGCCCTCTTCTCTACCAAGGATTGGGGCCAGGAAGGCCGGCTCCCAGCCCCCTCCCCTCCCGTCCCCCACCCTTAGCTTCCTGGACGGGTCCAGGACGTCTCCGGATTCCAGCTCCCTGGAGCTTGTTCCCATTCTAAGGGGACAGACTCGTTAGCACCCCCCATTGGTGCCTTGGCTTCGGGGACCCCAAATCTTTCTTTGGGTCTCTTTTCCATACGGGACCGGCTCCACCTGGAGCAGGGCGAATCGCCGCCCCTCGCAGACCTGTTCCCTCACCTGGCGGAGCACCTTCCTCCTGCCCACCTTATCTTTGGCGGAGGTCTCTCTGGCAGGCCAGGGAGGGTAAGGAGGGAGGATGGGGGTCGCTCCCTTCCCTTGGGTCAGCCTAGATTTTTGTACATCCCTAGGAGAACCCCGCCCCTCTTGGAGTCCTGAGTAACGATGGGGGTCCCCGACTCCCCACTTCCACCCCCGGTGTGCAGCGGCCCCCAGCCAGGCGGGCTGGGGGAAGGGCCGTCCAGGGCTTGGGGGCGGAGCTGGCCGGTAGGAGCCGCGCGGGAAGGGGAGCCCGCCTGCAGCCTCTGCCCCACCCGCCCCGCAGCGTCCACTCCGGTGGGGACCTTTCCGGTGGCCCCGCGAGCTTCATAGGTTTCATAAAAGTCAACTTACTGCTGCCGGGCCCGGGCTGGGGTCTGTGCTCACCCCGCTCCGCGGGGGCTAGTCTTGCCTTGCCCGGCGCTTTCTCTCCGCCGCCGCCCACGCCGCCGACTCTCCGGAGCACACGGAGAATTTGTTTGTGGATTTGTTTATTTGCCAGCTCCGGGGACAGTGAGGGGGGGAAAAGGGGTGCTAGGGTGGGGGGGCGGCGGCGCTGCCGGGCCGACTCGGGCTCCCGGTTCCCGGCGGCCACCTCGGTGCGCACAAAGGCCGGCGCGCAGCAGGGCCGGCAACTTCGCTACGGGTCAGGTGGCTCCGGCGGGGGCGGGAGCAGAAGGAGGAGGGGAGGGAACACGGGCCGAGACCCCCACCCTCTCCCCCTCCCTCCTGTCTGCCATCCGTGAAAGCCTCCGAATAGCGTGGGATTAAACAAATCAACAGAACCCGTGGAGAACCCCTCCCTTTCCGCTCCTTCTCCCTCGTCACCAGCCGCTCCTCCGCTGCTGGAGGCCTGTCATTCCTCCAGAAAGAGGAAAGGCCGCATCTGGGAACAGCTGGCTCACCACCTCTTGACCCTTGACCCTGCCCTCCTTTGGAGTCTGCTGCAGACCACCCCCCACCCAATCCCTGCAGCATGCGGAGGTGGGGAGGATGTGGGAGGCCAGACGGAGGTGCCCACAGTACAGATGTGGGTGGCAGAGTGTGTGGGGCCCCTTGTCTCCCAGTGGCTCACAGCTTCCCAGTTCCAGCTGGGGCGGTCAAAGGAGCTCAGAGGCCCCAACCCAGTGCCTCACCCAGGGATGGCAGAGACCTCAGTCTGGCTCTGCAGCAAGGCCTGGGTCCTCCTCCCACCCAGCACCTGTGACTGTGACCCCAAACATCTCCCCTGTGGGTAGGGGGGCCTCCCATTCCTCCCACACCAGGCTAAACCTCCCAGAGGCGGGCAGATGCTTGGTGCCATGAGGAGCAGGGGCCCCCGAAGGCCCATCGCACCCAGCAGGGGCCCTCTTCCACCCCCAGGAGCTCCAGGGACACTGCCAGGCGGCTTGATCGCCAAGACTAGGGGGTGGGAGTGCACACATGGCAACTGCCCCCACCCACAAACTCAGAGGCGAGGATGGAGGGTGGGGCAGGGAGGCTCCACCTGCAGGTGCTCCTTCCACACCTGTTCCCTGGGCTTGAGTCTGGACAAGGCCAGTCGTGGGGCCCTGTGCCTGATGGGGAGAGGGAGGGCCTCTCCTGGTCTTGCTCCTCCTCACCCTTTGTAGTGGGTGGCGGGGACCCCGCCTGCCTGAGCGCTGAGGGTGGGAGTGCAGCGACCGACCACAAAGACCTCGATTGTTAGCCCGCCCAGGCGCACAATGGGGTGGGGATAGCACAGGGCCTGGGGCCTCCGCATGGAAATGAGGCCACGGCCCCTTTCTCTCTGCTCCCAGCCTCGCCCCCTCCTCCCTGGCCCCAGTGAGAAGGAACGCACAGACCTCGGACTGACCGTCCCAGAGGCGGAACTCCTTGCGGGTCTTGCCAGAGCTGCTGGGCTGAGAGCTGGGCAGAGTAGGCATGAATAGAGGCCAGGTAAGCGCTGCGCCCGGGAGGGCAGGGAGGCGGGAGCTGGTGTGGAGCGAGGGGAGCTGGGTGCCTGGCCCATGGCGGGAATAGGCCTTTTGTTCCCCAGGGACCAATATTTCAGCCTGAGGTGCGAACCTGCCCAGTCCTAGCCTCCCTGGCGCTGCACTGTTGCTGGGGAATTGGGGATATGGAGCCTGGGCCAGCAGCCCCCGTCCCCACCCCTTGCCCAGGGCCGGCCCCTCTACAGGGTACCTCTTGGTTTTGGGCAGCCACCTCCCTCCCATTGCCTCCAAGCCTAGCCTAGGGTCCCAGAGGGTGTGTTGTGGGGAGGGTACCGAGGCTGGCCCCTGCTGGCCCCACCTAGGGATCTTAGTGTCAGCAAATTACCCTGGAGGAGTGAGGGCTGAGCAGCTTGCCCCAGCACTGCTCTCTTCTCTAGAAACATGGAGTTTGGGAGCAGGAGCTTTGAGAAGGCTCTGGGGCCTTGTGGCCTCGACTCCTCCAGTGGGAACCCCTCCTGCTTGGCTTTGGGGCCACCCCAGGCATGCAGGGCCCTGCAGGACACCCATTTAGGGCACTTTCCTTTTGAACCTGGGCCTCAGGACCACCCAGAACAGACCTGCGCAGAGCAGGGGCGGGGTCTCTCCCAGCCATGGGTCCCCCTCCGTGGGACCCAGTGAGGTTGGATGTGGCCAGCCTGGCCGCAGGGTGAGGGCTCTTTGTCCCTGAGTCCACATGGGGCGGGGGCTCTGTGTGGCCTCCTCAGTGACAGCCTGACCTCTAAGTGGGAGCAGGGGGCGTCTGACAGGGAGCCCTCCCCTTCCTCAGGCCCTCAGGTGCCCCCCATGGAGCCCCTCCTGGTCACAAGGGCGGGACTTGGCTCGATGCCCCTCCCCCTAAGTTCTCAGAGGCCCCAGCACTCAGGACCCCACCAGAGGGAGCTCCGCCACAGGGGCGCTTGTGGGGCCAGCTGGCCCAGGCACCAGTCCTGCAGAGGTGGAGCCCCCTCAGAAGTGGCTTGGCTTGGGGTGCAGAGAACAAAGCCATCCTTGGCTGGGCTGACAGGTGCTGGATGGCCTGCAGCTCATGGTCTCGGGGTAGGGCTGGAATGGTCCTCGCTCTGTCCCTCCCTGCAGGACACATCTGCCAGTCCTTTCTCAGGGTTCAGGTCCCCATCACTCTCTGAGCACCTGCCCCTGGGTCTCTGTGTCTCTCCCCTGGTCTCTGTCTCTCTCCTGTCTCTGTGTCTCTCTCCTGGTCTCTGTCTCTCTTTGGTCTTTGAGTCTTTCCCCTGGTCTCTGTGTCTCTCCCCTGTCTCTGTGTCTCTCCCGGTCTCTGTGTCTCTCCCCTGTCTCTGTGTCTCTCCCGGTCTCTGTGTCTCTCTCCTGTCTCTGAGTCTCTCTCCTGGTCTCGTGTCTCTCTTTGGTCTTTTTCTGTCTCTGTTCTCTTCTGTCTCTGTCTCTCCTGGTCTCTGTCTCTCCTGGTCTCTGTGTCTCCTGGTCTCTGTCTCTCCTGGTCTCTGTCTCTCTCCTGGTCTCTGTCTCTCCTGGTCTCTGTCTCTCCTGGTCTCTGTGTCTCCTGGTCTCTGTCTCTCCTGGTCTCTGTCTCTCCTGGTCTCTGGTCTCTGTTCTCCTCTCTGTCTCTCTGGTCTCTGTCTCTCTCCTGGTCTCTGTCTCTCTCCTGTCTTGTCTCTCCTGGTCTCTGTGCCCCCCGGTCTCTGTGTCTCTCCCGGTCTCTGTGTCTCTCCTGGTCTCTCTGTCTCTCCCCGGTCTCTGTGTCTCTCCCGGTCTCTGTGTCTCTCCCCTGTCTCTGTGTCTCTCCCGGTCTCTGTGTCTCTCCTGGTCTCTGTGTCTCTCCTGGTCTCTGTGTCTCTCTCCTGGTCTCTCTGTCTCTCCCGTCTCTGTGTCTCTCCGGTCTCTGTCTCTCCCTGTCTCTGTGTCTCTCCCGGTCTCTTTTCTCCCTGTCTCTGTGTCTCTCCCGGTCTCTGTGTTCTCTCCTGTCTCTGATCTCTCTCCTGGTCTCGTGTCTCTTTTGTCTTTGATCTTCCCCTGTCTCTGTGTCTCTCTCCTGTCTCTGTCTCTCCTGGTCTCTGTCTCTCCTGTCTCTGTCTCTCCTGGTCTCTGTGTTCCTGGCTCTGTCTCTCCTGTCCTGTCTCCTCGGTCTCTGTCTCTCCTGGTCTCTGTGTCTCTCTCCTGGTCTCTGTGTCTCCTGGTCTCTGTCTCTCCTGGTCTCTGTGTCTCCTGGTCTCTGTGTCTCCTGGTCTCTGTCTCTCCTGGTCTCTGTCTCTCTCCTGGTCTCTGTCTCTCCTGGTCTCTGTCTCTCCTGGTCTCTGTCTCTCCTGGTCTCTGTGCCCCCCCCCGGTCTCTGTGTCTCTCCCGGTCTCTGTGTCTCTCCTGGTCTCTCTGTCTCTCCCGGTCTCTGTGTCTCTCTCCTGGTCTCTGTGTCTCTCCCGGTCTCTGTGTCTCTCTCCTGGTCTCGTGTCTCTCCCGGTCTCTGTGTCTCTCC